AATAAAATATGTTCGGCGAGGTAAGCCAAAGGTGGTGTATGCCAACATGCTTTGGCATTATCACAGTCCTGGACATTTCAGTTGGAACGAAGTTAACAATGGAATAAATGACGCTGCTGAAGACGTGTCACCTGAAAATGACACTGTCAAAGAAGAAACTCTACCCGATTTTGAGAAGGGATTTTAATGAAGTTACTGCCACTGATGTGACTGTTACCGATAATAGGACATTTCCTGATGGAGCAGATGAACCTCACGTGAAGTAGAAGCCAGTACAGAAGAAGATACGTCCCGTAAAATTAAGAGACTTTATTGAATTTTAATTTTGTGTTTGTAAATTATGTACATTTAATTAAGTTATTGTTAATTATCTATTGGTTTAATGTAAGTGGTTATTGTTCGAGACGAACAATACTAAGGAAGGGGCAGTGTTACGACAGCGGAAGTCGCGCGACGCTGGGAGCATGCGCTGGAGCACTAGAAAGATCGAGGAACCTGTCGAACGTCCTAGCGTTTGCTAGACCTGCGCTTTTATAGTATATAAGCCAGGCAAAAGTGGAGAGATAATTGCAGACAGGCAGATATAGAGACGGACAATTGAGTCAATCACGGTAGTGACCGTAAGTAAAGTGCGTGAATGGTTGGGAATTATAGCGTGTGTTTAAGTTAAAGTTACTGTGGAAATTAAGTGTATTAAGTTGAATTGAGAAAGAATAAACTAGTTTTATCTAAGAAAGGACTTGTATCGGCTGAAGTTTCTCCGAAAGAATTTCTACGGAAAATTAACAAACGAGAACAGAAACATAACAATATTATTCTTTATATTAGTAAACTAACCAGCCTTTATCTTAACCTCACAGTTACATAGATGTTTGAAATAAATATAATATCTGTTATTCTCAAATATAATGAAGAGAAGACTGAACTTTTTAAGTTGTTGTAAAAGAGTAGCCCCAAGAATTGGCGGTGGGTGGGGTTAACTAGGTGCTTTTCCTGTAGTCTGTCACTGCTAAATTTGGGACGGCTAGCGCAGATATCCCTCTTATATCTTTGCGCGAAATTTAAAACAAACCAAACCTGCTTTAATAAAAATATGAAATAGCACAAACACACAAGCACAAAATCAGAAAACAAATAGAACATAAAGAACAATGAACACAAATACACAGCTAACATAATTTTCAGAAAGATACATAACCCGACAACATAAAATGGACATAGCCCTGAAAAGAAAAGTGTACTAGAAAGTGATAGACATCAAACCAGCTTACTTTTAAAATTCCAAGTACAGAATATAAAAAAAAAAAACAATTTAGGAGGGAGGTTTATTTAGTACCTAACCCTCCCAGGTCGCCAGGACCTAAATCCAGATGATTGACTGATGGATTGATAAAAGGGAGGAAGATGTCCGAGTGGAAGTGACCCTCCTAGGTCGCGCACAAAGTCCAAACGCCGATACAGTAACATTTGCATTCCAAATTATAAAATTTATCTACTATAGAAATCTTAGAGGTCGCTACCAATCTCTCATATTTTTTCTTTACTTTCTTTATTCAAAGTTCGTTTAACAGTTTGACAATGTCCGAATATAATAGGGAATATATTGCAGACAAACTTAGAAAAGAATTGGATGCAACTTATATTGTAAGATTTTACCACATTTTCTACCGATGCTAAGTCTAAATAAGTAAATATAATAAAGTTCATGCTTGATGAAATTTGATATTTTGGTTATTTAACTGAAAATGCGAAATATAGGTAGGTTTGAGAACTTTAGTTTAAATTTAATGCACTGCCACTTCTCTTTCAGGCAGCTGCAGTCCACTAAAATTCTCAAACCTATTATCACTACTCTGCTTAAAAGTTAAAGTTCCATTGAAATAAAGGTTTTGATAATTTTTACACAGTAACAATATTCTTCATTTGTTACATTTTACAATCGTTGAGGCTGGAGATTGGATTTTCGAATGCATAACAAAAGTGGTGCTGAGTTAATTAGTGCATCTTACATTTGATTTATAATGGCCTTCTATTCTAATTATGTTCCCCCCCCCCCTCTCCTTAAATTCCATTTGAAATTAGAGTTTAGAGTATTAATCTTCAGTAATGCCACTGGC